AGTGGCAGATCACTTCAGGTATCTTCATTGACAGGAGTTTTCAGTATAGTAATTTACCCACACAGACGAATAAAGCTGCATAAAACTTGAAATCACTAAGCATCATTGGGTCTCTTAAAACGTGGCACTCATGCTTTCTCGTTTCTTGCCTAAAACCCGCATGTATTTATTCGACAGGAGGACATGCGAGACTGTGTTGGGACATTTCGCCCGCATGAGTGTTGCCTGCAGCAGCCGGCTCTGCGCGCTGCGCCCCGGACCTCCGAATGACTCACCTTGCCGGATCGGATTAAGTCATACCGGACACAGCGCGGCTGGGGCAGCCTGGCATGCCATACGTGCCATTTCGCCTTTTCTGTCGCGAAGGAGGACCCGGGCACAACGGAAGGGGCGTCAGGAAGGAAAAAAAATTAAAAGGAGTCCGTCGACAGTTTGGGCAGCTATGTATACAGCGGAGCGCGACAGCAGCGCGGTTCCGTTGTCCAGCGGCCGCCGCTGGAGTGGACCGCTGGAAGGGGGTTATGCAAGCGGGAGTGCTGCTCTGAGGACGCGATTCTTGACGAACGTGACTTCATCAAGCCGTCCGACTTAATTCGCGAGGTTGGACTCAACCCAGAAGTTGAGGGAATGCTGCAGAATTTTGTTCGTTATGACACCCGACAGGAAAAGAAGTCGATGAGTAGTCGCGCCGGCCTCTATCGCACAGAACACAACACTGCCATTTCTTCACCAGCAAGTTTCTTTAAACAGTTGTTAATTTTAACAGCGATAAACTCTTCTAGCATACCGTGTGTACACGGGACACGGGTACAGTTCCAAGCTTGATAATGAGTTCGAAATCAATGCCTTGCCGGCCTGCACGACGGATGCCATTTATAATGGGTTCAAACACCGCTCTTATTTGATCGGTTACATTTCTTCTCTCTACGTGAGCTGACGCGTGTAAACAATTCCACGCGTGTCTGAAGAAGCAGTCTGCAGAGGCAGACCACCTTGTGTGTGACCGCCTCCTCCCTGGACCGGGCGGGCCGGGCCCGAGCCCCGACCGGCCGAGTCACGGTCACTGCTCTGCATTACGGCCGTTTTCCTTCCCTCGTCCGATTATCATATCAGTTGCAACACCGGTGGAAGTTGCTGCTTCGCGCAGACGAACAAGAGGACGACCATTTTCTGGGCAATTTCTCATCTGGCAGCTGTAAGGCGCCGCGGTGCCATTTGAAGCATGCTCTCCGACAAGCACTTATTTACATCACTGCACCGCACATAGTTGCAAGTGTGTGACACCCGAGGTCAACACAATCACGAGTCAGTGCACCGGGAGTGCAGAAAAAACAATAAAAAACAGTTATGCATGCAGATAACTAAAATGGTGCACTCTCCCGTAACAGTCGGCCTGCTCCGACGTGGGGATATTCAGAAAAACTGGAAATGTTGCAGCGGCACACACACACGACGTGCTCAACGAGAAGCACATGCATTCTGTAATGAAGTTCTATCGGGAGCAGGAAGAGATGCACCACGTGCCGCATGCGCCTCCCTTTGGTCCAGCCGCACTTATGAGAGCGGAAGCGCTGCCGAAGGGATAATCCCGCGCCGCCGCGACTTGTTCTCCTTGTTCTTATATGCTCCGCGAGCCATTCGGTTCAAAACGCCATACGAGCAGTGAAGGCAGCAGGAGCCGCCGGCACCGCGTGGCTCGGGCTCAAGGCAAATTTGCTATCGTCTTCATTTTCCACGACACAATGAGTTGTCACACACGCTCCCAGGCGCCGCGCCGCACGCTTCCGAGTTTGCGCAAGGCGCCCGCGACCATCGCCGCCCCACCCGGCGGCATGTTGGTCGTTGTGGCGCGCGCGCGGGATTTTCGAAGTGGCCCGCGTCGCCTCATGCTCTGGGTAATGTGCGCGTGCGACACACACGCGGCCGACCCAGATTATTAGATATGGAAAATATAACACAACTCCACGCAAAACAGGTCGGGCCGGCCGGCCGGCCCACCGCCGGTCCCTCTGCACTTGCGATTCCCCACTTGTCATATGCAAATCCTTGGCGCTTGCGAATCCAGCGCAGCAGCAGCCGTAGTACGCCATGAGCGTGCGGGCTGCCGCTGCTGTGCGCATTGTGGGTGCGATGGCATCGCAGGTTCAGGGCCGCACATGTGCCGCGCTTTCGCCATGCCCGCTCGTCAAGAGATGCTGCCGGTGCGATCTGACCTGACGGGCCCAGCGGAGATGACAGTCATTTCTGTGCCAGATAACTAGACGCGCGACCGGCACAAACGGCGCTCCCCGCACCTCCCAATTATCGAGGTCGCGGGGTTGAAGGCCGGCCCCGCAGCGGCGTCGTCGCGCACTTTGGGGGCGCTTCCCGCCGTCAGTCGAAACCTCTTAGCGACCCGCTGCAAAAGCCCCGCCGCCGCCTTCGGCGCAATTATTTTAATTGTCCGGACGATGTGGCCAGACGAGCAGACTATTAACAATAATCGCCACCAGTATGAGAAATAATACTGCACGCCCCATCCTGTCCGCGAAACGGAAATGCAGCCGGCACGGTGCATTACGGGCGCGGGGATAGCCAATCAGAGGAGAGGCAGCTGGCAGAGCGCAAGGATCTCGGGTGGCGGAGCTTCCCCTCGGTGCAGGTATATACGCTGCCTGGTCCCGGCGTCCGTTTGGTCATGAAATTTGCTTACGAGCACACGTTCTCAGTGCATGATGTAGCCCAAGGCCTATCTGTCGCGAGTGCACCGCGCGAAACTAGGTTCAACCACACACGGAACAAATGAAACAGCACGTCCCTCCCCCTTTTTTTTCAGTCTTTTTGCCGTCCGCTTGTGTTTCTTTCGTTCATCTGCTACGAACCGATGATGACATTTTCACTCCCTCTCGTAATCGCGCATGACTTGTGCTTGTAGCCTAACGGCACCCGCCCGTGCCCCACGCGTCCAGCGCCATGTATTGATATGGCTGTCATTTAGGCCGAGGGCCTCGTCGGGAGAGGGCGCCAAAGACCCGGCGCGGCGCATAATGTTGCACACTCTTGAAACCCAAGGGCTGTACATGCATCCAGTATTCGAATACCCACTATGTACATGCATTTTTTGGCGTACATTTCAGAGTACCTTCAATGTATGCAAGGGCGTCCAGATGTGGCCATGTGCCGAATTCCTTATTGAGACACACTTCAGGTCTTCTGTGTAGGGTTAAGCGTGTATACTTAGGAGGATTTTCAGCATTTCCTGCAACAAGTGAATTACACATTGATGGGGATATTAAGGAAATACTGAATACACATTTTGGATCTATAGATCCAAGAGACTGTGTTAAAAGTGTGCGCCAACTGGACCTAATTATGAACCTTATTTACTCGCCCA